ATGTGAAGCTGAGCCCAGAGAACACTCAGCCCCCTCAATTCCAGCCGCCCAGGCAGCGTGGCAGATGTGCATCCTGGCTACACTCGCGACGTTGGGAGTGGAACTGACCAAACGCTGAGCCTGCGGTCACGACACAGGCCATTCGCTCAGCGCTGTCGAGCGATGGGAGGAAACTGTGCCAGCCTTGCCTCGCCTCGCCGGCCCCGGAATACGGGCCCCAGCCCCACACAGCAAGTCTCGTGAAGCAGCAGCAGCGTGTACCCTGCGATGCCCGCGATGCTCTCGAGAGCTATGCACATATTTAAAGAGGAGATTAAAGTTTTACACAAACACTAAACAATTTGGGGTCAGTGCCTGCTCACCTGGATCTTTCGGCTTGAGAACCTCAAGGATTAAGGATTAGCCTTCCGTGGGTTCATGCGCCACCAGTCCAGTGGCTGCAGTGGGGCGGGGGGTGGAGGGTGACAGCGCACCGTTTTGCGACAGGACAGCCTGCTCGGATTTACTAGCACCCATTTCATGCTCAAAGCTGCCCGAAATGAAATTATGAAACAAAACATCCCTGTGACGCATACTGCAGTGTCTCTTTAGATCCCCTTAAACTACGAACAGCACTAGCGCAGTGATTGACCTGGTCACTCAATACAGAGGCGTTTTAAAACATGTCTTTGTAAAACTCTGCCACTAACTGGCTGTGACTTGGAAGAGGCGCTTTCTCTGGAAATACTTGAGTTTGGACTTGGGAATCATGGCTGATGTTTCTTAAACGCTCGCATAGCACCTGTTTTTGGAATGTAAGTGAAAATTCAGAAGCTGTTATCCAAAAGTGGCTGGCATATACGTATTCACTGACCTGAACTCAACTGAAGTGACAGACGATCTGTTCTGCCTTAACAAGCTTCTCCACACTTGCCACCCTGGAGCTCGCTGTCACTCTCCTGCCGAGCTCCAAACCCGGTACGAGGCTCTGGTACCGGCCTCGCACTCGGGCTCCAGCATTTTCTGCGGCTCGTCTTCCGCCTCATCCCACTGATGGCCTGCGTCTGCCGTGCCAAACTCTCCGATCTCCGATTTCATGCCCCTGGGCCTTTGCACAGACAAACCACTGTCTCTGGAAAGACTTTCTGAAACTTGCCCGTTTGACAAACTCATGCCGTCTTTAAACTAGCTAAGATGTTAGAAGCATTCTCTGAGGCTACATAAATGAAGTGTTTAGAGAGGTTTCTAGCACAGAATGTGTGCCCAAGACAGATTTCAGAAGTCACCTTCCTCTTCGCACCGTCGCCACTGACCAATCAGAGTGTTGCAAGCCCCTTCCATAGTAGACTTTGAATGGGACGCTTATACACACACTCCCACAGCAAGGCCAAGAGGTCAGGTCTCCAGACAAAGCAAAGACCCAAATATCCACCTCCGTCACCCTTTCTAGAAGCTCAGACCAAATACAGTAGCCCCCCTGACTCACTGTTTTACTTCCCTGGACACACTAAACTGTGTCCAGAAAACGTTAATTCCAGAATAAACAATTCACAAGTTTTAAATTGCATGCTGTTCTGAGTAGCATGCTGTTCTGAGTAGCATGTTGAAATCTTAAGCTATCCTGCTCTGTCGTGCCCGCGATGTGAAACATCTCTTTGTCCAGCATCTCCACACTGTACACGTGCTCCCCGACTGTTAGTCACGTAATGGCCTTCTTGTTTATCAGATCACCCATCACAGTATCATAGTACTTGTGTTCATGTCACCCTTATTTTACTTAATAATAGCTCCAAAGCCATTCACATAACTTTTATGACAGCATGTTGTTATAACCGTTCTGTTTTATTAATAGTAATTGTTGTTCATCTCTTCCTGTGACTAATTTATAAATTAAACTTTATCATAGGTATGTCTATATAAGGAAAGACAGACATAGTATAAATAGGGTTAGTACTATCTGCAGTTTCAGGCATCCACTGGGGGGTTTTGGAATGTAATCCCTGTGGATAAGGGGGCTACCGAATTCTTATCAAATTCTGAAGCATTAATTACATGTCAGTTCAAATCCCAGCTTGGTCATTTAACCTATCAGAGCTTCAGTTTCCTTATTTGAAAAATAGACACGGCTACCATCAAACTTTCTTGCGAGGATTAAATGATTTATGAAATTATTCAGTATTTGGTAAATATCTCCTTTTCTCCCTGAATGCACTCAGCCACGTGCACACACACATGATTCATGTCAGAATCACCTTAACATGTCTGTATCCTGGAGGCAGAAGCGTATTCTCCCTCTGACTCACACCAAAGGCACAGGCTCAAACTCCTAATTCCAATTTGGGAACTCTAGGCACAGATGGAATGTCAGCTCCTACATCTCCCTTGCTTTCAAATCACACTTGTCAGAGGCACACTTAAAAATACTGTGACACCTCGGTCTGCCTTGGAAACATGGGCCCAGATCCATAGAGTTTGTGTGTGTGTGAAGGGAGATGGGCCAGATGCCATCATTTTTTTTTTCTTCTGTTGGTAATTAATTCACGTCTCGGTAATACAAATGTTTAGCAAAAAAATAAAACGGGGGAGAGGCATGGCGAAATCACTCCAAGATATTTATGCTTTGATTCATTCATGTCAAACAGTATCTATTCGACACTGAGATATCAAAGGCTCTTTATCTATCCATTTAATAAATAATATTTTAAGCGATAGTACTTAAAGATTCCAAGTATATAAAGAAAAAAAAAAACACTAAAACAACTGCTGGAAACTAATTTGGCCATATAAGTCTAAAATCCTAAAATATGAAGTTCTCAAACCCCAAAATTCCACTTTGGAGAATGTGCCCCCCGAAAATAATCTGGGTGTTGGCACACGCTTTATGTACCGAGGTGTCCACTTGATGAAGGGTCATAAACAGTCAAATGTCCAAAAATAGAGGAATGAGTTGGTGAACTGCGGTGTGTCTACCTGTGACTCTGGCTTTTCTTTCTATAGATCTGCATTGTTTCAGTTTTCTATAAGCAATAAATATCACATTAGACCTGTCTCTTGAGGTTTGTGTGAGGAGCAAATGTTCAGCATAGTGCTAAGTTTTCATTAAATGTTGGAAAGTTTCAAAAAGTACTATTGTTATTGCTTTTCATTAAACGTGGCATAATTCTCTTCTCCCCCTCCACAAACCCCTACAAAATGAAGTAAAGGAATGAAAAAGTCTAAACCCACAAGGATAACAAAAGAAAACAACAGAAATGAGCAAACAGCAGATAAGAGATTTCAACAAATGTTTAGATGACGTGCTGACAGATACAGCAGCGCAGACCAACTGAGGCTCCGGGTCCCTGCAGAGGGGCTGCGAACATGAACTTGCCCCGCGGACCCCCGGGAAAGCCCGAGAAGCACAACTGCCCCTGGAAGGCAGGGGGAAACATGGGGCTGGAAGCAGGAGGATCAGCTGCGGGTCCCGCTCACGGTGGCTGGCAGTATCAGGGGATGCTATGACTCCTTCGGGCTCCCCAGTGAAGCCTGTTTACACGGCCATCACAATTCAATACTCTCATCTCAACCCCGGGTCTTGATATGACTAGGTTTTGAGGGTGAAGGAGGAAAATCGAAAAAGGGTGATAAAAGAGAGCCCTAAGTCCTCATCTATCAAGGCAGGAACTCAAAAAATACTTCCCAAACTGGTGACTCGAGCAACAGCAGGATTCATGTGTTATTTAGAAACAGAGAGGCCAGAATGAGAAAAACAAAGGTGTCAACAGAGATGAAGGTGGCAGCTCTGGGAGTGGTAAGCACAGGCGTGGGGAGGTGAGGCAGGGAATGAGTTGGTGTTCGCAAACCACACATCTCGGGGACTATTTGATTATTGCAGTTGTTTGTACACGATCTTGATAAAAATCAAAATCTCTTTTGACCAAAGTCTGGCTCGGACGTGTATTCTTTGTTTGGCCTTGGGTGTATAAACCATCCATGATGTGGCAATAATTGTACTCATCTCATAGCATTTCAGGAACCTGGTACCGGATCATCCATGTAGGGAGCTTAGCTCTAAAGTCTTAAAGTGCTTAGACATAGGCATTCTGTGTAGAATGTGCACTATGTATATATATATATACCGTGTGTGCGTGTGTATATATATTCTCCAAAGTCAGCTATTTTTACTGAGAGAAGGAAACTGACAACATGGGTTGAGAGCATTTACACTTTTAGCCACAGCCTCGACTGTAATCGAATGCCTCCTACGGGGCTATATTCTGTCTCTTCAGCCAGGACTATAATGACAGATGTCTAGAGTACCTCAGACATCATGTCACAGGAAGTAACGTCACTTGGGCTCTCGGAGACTCTCACTTCCTGACTAAGAGGAAGGCAGAATAGGGACACGCAGCGAGGCCCACGCTGGCCTGCCCGCTCCCACCCCACCCACCCATCCAGAGTGCCCTGCACCCCCTTCCCACACTTCCTGCTGCCTCACGGCCAGGGCACGAGGTGGAGAGCTGGCCAGGATGTGCAGGAGGGGACGGCAGCCTCAGTCCAGGCCATGTTCCTGGGCTCAGGGACAGTGTCCTGCCTTAGATGTCACTGTGCCACTCAGTGTGCTGGTGGCTGTGACCCCAAACACTTCTGCACTAATAAACGGCTGAATTCTTTCACTTTGTGGACACAAATACCCCTTGCTGACATGGCCTTGGGTCAGTGCTAGTCTAGTCATTCCTCAATAGGGCAAAACAATCCTTGGAATGAATACTGGGATAACTGGGCTTCAGTCCCCCTCTGCCTCCCCTTGGCCGCTTTGTCTGACCAAGCCATTTAACGCTGTGAGTCAGTTTCCTCATCTGCGAAATGGGCGTAGTGCTGGCCTTTGCCCCCTCTACGCATGCGCTGGAGTTACAGGAGCTGGAGTTAAGGGGTGTGAGAGGGTCAGGTGAGCTGTAAGCACCAGACAAAGGTAAGAAGAAAGAAGGGCGAGGGATGAGCAGGCACTCTCAGCAGACAGACGGACAAGACACGGAACTCACCGTTCTCGGCGGGGGAAGGCGGAACCACCGGAGGGCAAAAACTGGGAGCATTGTTCTGAACTAGAAAGAAGAAAGAGGCAGCCCGTTAGCGCTTCGTTATCCTCAGTATCATTGAGTTCTGACAACATTAATCTGGGAACAACTTGGTGATCGCAAAACTGGGCTCGGAAGGCAGATGGGGCGCGTGTGACAGCCAGCGCCGCTCCTGCATTAATCGGGATGGGCTTGGTTATGCCGCGGTGACAATCACAACATCTCAGGTGCTTGAAACAACAGAGGGTCGCCTCTTCCTCACACCACGTGTCCGTTGCAGGTGGGCTGGGGGCTTTGCTCTTTGTCATTTCCCCTCAAGGCCCAACGACGCTGTGGCAGGAAAGGGGATATGGCAAACTCCACCTTTGCCCTTATCGCTTCTGCCTACGAGGGACACCCATCGTTTTGCACACATGTCACTGACCAAAGCCAGGGCTGAGGCCGGACGTGAGGAAGTGCAGCCCCACCCTATTCCAGAGCCATCTGATAAACAACATAAATGCCTACAGCCACCACTTACTGACTCTGTGAACTTGGGCAAGTCACTTACCCTCTCAGGGCCTCAGTTTCCACATCTGTACAAAGGGGATAATACGACCTCCCTTGAGAATCACTGTGAGGATTACAGGAGGTGACGTAGCGCCAGGAACAGAGAAAGAGCTCAGTGAATGGCAGCTATTAATGGCAGGCGGTGTGGCAGAGTGGACAGAGCCTGGACTTTGCGTGAAGACAGATCTGGACTCAAATCTCCAAGTGCCACTGAGAAGCAGCGTGGAGGGACAAGCTACCTGACTCCTAGACCCAGCTGCAGCCCTGACAGAATGAGACGGTCATAAGAATCAACGCGAAGCCGCACACATCCAGCCGGTTGCCCGTAAGTGCTAATCGCCTTCCGCCCCCCTCGCCGCACACATCCAAGTCTTCGAAGCTTCAGCAATCTCTTCCCCAAGTGGCCCAAACACTGCACACAGTTCTCCTCCCTCACCGTGCTGCAGTGTAGCGTGGTCAGAGGTCAAAGGTGACGGATCTGGGGTCCGTGGCCCAGGACAAAATTGGCTAGGCTGCTTTCCTCTGTGAGACCTTGAGCAAGTTACTCGACCTCTCTGTCCTTGGCTTATTTGTCTGTAAAATCGGGGTAATGACGGTACCTATCTCAGGGTGGTGAGGTTTAGGTGACTTGGAACGTGTAAAGCTTTGGGCATACAGTAAGCACTCAATAAATGCTGGCCTTCATTCACTCTTAATATCACCCTTTTTCAGTGACAAACTGTTGCCTTCGTCTCTGGTCCGTGTCGGCCACCATGACAGACCTCGGGCCGGAGTCACCCTGTTCTGGTTCCCTCATTTCCGCTTCCCCGCACCCCCGCCTTCTTCACCTTGGCCAGGTATGCCGTGACCCAGCCCCCGAGCTCTGGAGCCTCCAGCTGTGTCTTGTTGCTTAGCTCCACTGGCCTGGGAACACCTACTCTACTAGTCATTCTTACAGCTCTGGTCCCCGCCCTGCGGCAGACATCAGAATCCCCTGGAGGGTTTGGTGACACACAGCACGCTGGGCCCCACCAGAGGATCTGAGTCGGCAGGGCGGGGCGGGGCCTGCGATGGGGCATTTCTAACAGATGCTCAGGACACGCTGACTGCCCGCTGGGCAGACACATTCTGAGGACCACTGACTAAAGCTCCTGTCACCAACGTTCTGTGGGCTCTCAGATAATACTCAGAATTACAGCCTACCAGCCACGCTCCACCAAACCCAGCTGGCCAGCTTGGCACTCACACCGTGCTTGTTTGTTTAAATGTCTGTCTTTCCTGGAAGAGGGTGGCTCTTGGAGCAAAGATCCTCAGAGTCAATGAGGTCCTCAGAGGACAATTCGACCGTCTGTATCAAGGCCACTCAAGTGTTCATGCCTTGGATCTAGTAACTCTGCTTCTGAAAATTTATCTTGAAATTCAAAGCGAGCTTGGTTTGCAAAAGAACATTTATATGATACCAATGAAACCCTGAAACGGTAACTGTTTAATGCCATGAGAACGGTTGGGTGAGCTACACCAGGCATCCCCAAGCCCTGGGCCACTGACCGGTCCGTGGCCTGTTAGGAACCAGGTCGCGCAGCAGGAGGTGAGCGGTGGTCAGTGAGCAAGGCTTCATCTGTAATTGCAGACGTTCCTAAGAGCTAGCATCGCCGCCTCAGCCCCATCTCAGATCATCAGGCATTAGATTCTCATAGGAGCACCGGTTCCTGGTGCCACAAAGGTTGGGGACCGCTGCCCTACAGTACATCTGCGAGGAGACTTGCCATGCAACTCATCTCAGCAGGGGATCGAACACACAGTGTGGCGACGGGCACTTACTCTCTCACCCACCATCAGTGGTCCATAACAGGGTGCTCTTAGCCCTTTGGGTGAGTCCTTCTTCCTTGTACAGGAGTGGCTGAGCATGAGGGTTCTCAGCTTCCCTGGGTGCCCATGACACTGAAACCCTCAATAACCTCAGTCTCTAGCAGAACCAATACTGCCCTGGGGACCCTCCTGCTGAGAATCTTACTGCGTAACCTTGAGCAAGTCGCTCACTTAATCCACATTTGTTAAACAAATAAATCCTAACCTTTCAGCTTCTTCTCAACTCTGCTTTCAGCAACATCAAGTTAGTAGCTTGAAGCCGGCTTCGTGGGAGTATTTATACCGTGGCAAGTGGTAACCGCTAGAAATCAAAGCTGCCTTCTGGTTGGAGTATACTCGTCAGCACAGCACCGAATGAAGGGTAACAACAGGCCCTACTTCACGGGGTGGTCTGGGGACTAACTGAGCTGGTGCCTGCAAAACGCTAGCCTAGTGCCCGGAGCCAAACGCTGTGCTCAGTTAACGGCACAGGCTGTTGGTAGGATGTGAACGATGGCGAAGACAGGCTTGAACAGTGAACGCTACGTACACGTGGAAGATTCCACAGTAGGGTGCAGATGGGCCTGATTAGAAGAGCTTGTCATTTCCTTTCTAGGTTATGTGCCCATGTCCAGAATGGTTACAAGGTCCAAGTGCATTTGCTTAACAGAAGAGAGAAACTGTTGAGCTTTGATTGTTTTTTTTTTTAGAAGCCACATCTGACTTCGTAAACAAACCAAAGACCCTGCCCTACCTGCAGGCCTCGCACAGCTGTGGGGAGGATGGCAGCCTTGGTTGCTTCAAAGAGCAGAGGGTCCCCAGCCCATGGGGCCCACCCCTTCCAGGAAACCCTGGGCTCTGGGCCCTGCTTGGCCACAGAGCTGCCCTGTCCCCCTGCCCTCCCACCCAGGATGCTCGGAACACTTCCTTTCTGGGTTCTGCTGCCGGGAAGTGGCTGCAAACAGCCTCATTTGCATTCACGATTGCTCTTCTGGGCCCTCAGTTCTGCGCTAAGACACAGGGAGCTTTCTGTTCACTGTGGACAGCAGAGTCAGAAAGCGCATGCCCGCGGCTCTGCGGGTCGCAGCTGAAGCGCCCCGCTGTGGGCGTGCGCCTCGCTCTTCCTAGATTCCGGGGGGCTCGGCTTCCGCCTTCGTTCTGGGAACGCAGCCCGGGTACCAAAGGCATGTCGTCCTGGCCTGTGCGCAGGTCTCTGAGGCCCTGAGGGCTGTGCAGACAGGAGCATGGCTCACCTTGACCCCAGTGACCTGCTGCCGGTCCCTGCACTGCCCTTTACTCCACTTCCCTTTCTCCCCGTCCGGGTTTCCCCAGGCGTCACTCTGCATGGTCCGCGTAGGACGGGACTCCGCGCCCCAGAAGCACCACCGATGCCGGTGCAGAGGCTGGCGGAGGAACGCGGGCCACGGCGACGTTGCTCAGAGCACAGAGAGAACACTCATCTCCTCGTGAGGGGACAGGAGCAGAGCCCACCGCACGGCGGGGCGCGAGTGAATTCTGGGGCGAAAGTGCTCAGAGTTGCTGCCGAAACACAGCGCTTAGGAAATGTGTGTGTTCACTCACGTGGCCTCACGCAGTAGGAGCGCGCCCTTCCCGTGCCCCTCCTCGGGACCTGTGCTTTGCTTCATGCAGCTGACTTTCAGCCAGGGTCCATGGCGGTCACACGGTACAGCTGTCAAGTCACTAAACGGCCACGCCATGGATTTGAAGCCAGGGCACAGCCTATTACAGAACTTCTTCGCAAGAATTCCTTCTTAAAAACATACGGCTCCTGTGCCAATTCCTAGGGGAAGACCGGGTCCCACCCACTCTTCGAGGTCTTCCCCAGCCCCGCAGAGGCTGTTTCCCATGGCGACGCGTGCGACTGTCTAATCCAGAAAACGAGCAGTGAGGACGGCCACGGGCTCGCTCGGCCCTTTGAACATCGCGCTGGTGAGCTGCCTCTGTCTACTACAGAAAATCGAACCCGAGACCAGGTAACACTCAGAATCCAGAAGGTGACGATGTTTTGGCTTAAAACGTGTCATGAATCAGAAGATGAGTTTGTACCAGCCAACACGACTCGACTGGGAGGATGGTCTGCGTTATTAAACTCGTCTCCCAGAGTAAGACCTCTCTTCTCTGCCTGGGTCTGGGAGGTCATCCGTCAAGTCTGAGGACATCCCCCCACCCGCAACTCCCCTTCTGCCACTTCTGCTGCAGATGACTCAAGGGGCAAAGTCCGGCGAGAATCTGACTCTGCTCTGATGGAGAGCCCTGTGCCCCCGAAACCCTGTGACAGCAGTCCCCTTCCTTCTGTCCTTCTGAAACAGGAAGTACGGAGCCACTCACACCAGAATGGCCACCAGCCATGTGCGCCCCACAGTAGTTTCCACCCGGGGGTCACGAAGCACTTCTCGTTTGTCTCCCCGTACACCAGAGAGAGCGGGTAGCACAGAGTGCGAAGGGCCTCCTGCCCGGGCAGCTGCATGGCATGGGCCGGGAGACGACAGGACGGGGTACCCTCAGCTCCAAGGAGGGCAGCGGGAGCCCCTCCACCATGGGGTCCCACCGCTCCGAAGTAGAATTACCCCTCGTTCCCGTGTCCCCACAGCACTTAATGCATAAGACTGTCCTAGCACTTGGCCTCACATGCTCTCGTTAATCATACACGCCCATGTCTTCCTCACTAGGATGCGAGCACCTGAGAAAAATGACTAGAGTTTATTAATCCTAGATTTCCCGGGCTCGACACAGCGTATGACTCAGTCTAGACACTCAGAAGGTTTGCAAAGCTTCTAGCTTTACAACACAATTGCCCAGCACCAGAATGGTTTGTTTATTTATGATCCGTAACTCCGACTCACCCAGAGGACAGAAATCACGTCTTTTTCACACTCGGCCACATAACAGTGATTTAGTGTCAGAAAGAATGAGCTCCAAATTCTAATTCTGCCATTTACCTGCTGTATGACCTTGGGCGAGCTGACCTAACCTCCCCGGGCCTCTCTTTCCTCATCGAACAGTGGCTGTGACAACTAGAAGAGATAAAGCTTACAAAGTGCTTGGCCTCTGGCCCAAAGAACAGCGGTTGGGTTGGGGGCAGGCGTGGATGCCCAGTCAGTGTGTGCCGAATGAGACCACCTCTGTGAATTTTTATTTTCTTGCCCTATTGTTCCTGCTCAGAAGTCCCGAGACCCCAGCCTGACCCCACAGAATGCACGATGGAAAAAGTTAGTGGTCTGTGCAGTCAGATGAAAAGAGACAGACCAGACAGAATGAGCCGGGACGGCGAGCGGCCTGAGTTCTTTCTGACTCGCCAGCTCCCACCACGCGGCTGCAACGCTCTGGTCTGGTTCCCGGGACGTTTCTGAACAAATGAATTATTTCTTAAGTGGCTTTTTACCCAACTCGTCCCTGAGCAATATGCAGATGGAAAATGACATTTTCCAGCGTTTTTGGGGGGCGGGGAGATGGAAAGGGGTGTGGGAGGGGAGGTCTGCCACATCGTCTCAACTGACACGATGACAAAACCAAGGGGACCTGGCAGAGTGCATATCGGTTGGTGTCCCCTGGCCAGTAACGGCATCTTAATTAGACTTTGAGGGACCACCTCTTCCCCCCGTGCACACAGTTTTGCTGGGACTGTCCCCTCACCCCCACCCCCCTGGCAATGGGTGGACTCCCAGCCTAAGACAGGCCTGACTTGAATTTAAAGCTCGGATACGACCACCAAAACCCTTTGGAGGAGACTGATGAGGACAGTGACGCACTGAGAAGTGCCTCTGTTCCTGCTAAACACGCCCTCGTCATCACTGAGACCCAGGCCGTCACCTTTCCTCTGAGTCTGTGACAGATCTGCGATAAATTCTTTTTCCACTTGTATTCAACCGAGTCCATTTCTGTTGCTTGTGCCCAGCGAACCCTGACGGATCTACTTCCCGGCCCAAGGATATCGTCCTAATATACAGCTGCAAAACAGCCAACTAAGGATGCCGCGCAGCTGTCCGGGGCGGGTGACCTACCTGGTTTCTGGTACCATCCGAAGGGATAGGTGCGGACCTCCGTGTCGGGAGAGCCGCAGTCCAGGACCCGCCAGGTTCCTCCGTTCTCGTCACTGCACGTCTGAAGTCCCAAGTTGTTCAGAGTTAGGCACGTCACCTCCCCTCCTGGAGCAAAACACAACCAGGACCGAGAAAATGATCGAGACGGAAGATTCTAACAGAAAGAGGGAAGTTCTGCAAACTCATCCTTCTGCAGACATCCGGGGTTCCCAACTGTATTCCAGGGATGATCTTAGCCACCGAGGAAAACCCCAGCACCCTGATGGGCTTCTGGGCCCAGAGCTCGGGGCTGAAGGCAGCTAATGCTGATGGGGCCCCGTCACGTGCCCAGACTGTTTGCATCTTATCACCTGGTCCTCACACGACCCTCTCAAGAGGTAGCACCTGTCTCCCTATTAACAGAGGAGGAAAGTGAGGTTCAGAGATTAGGTGGCTTTTCCGGGGTCACACCAGGAGCAATTGACCGAATCAAGTTTGAAATGCAGACCCAAAGCGCAGCCCACGAAGCCACGGGACCTGAGCCCGGAGCATGAGCAGCAGCTGAGTGAAGCGCAGGGGGAAGGCCATTCCGGTCGGCAGCGGAGCTGGGTACGGCTGCCGGTTCTCGGGGAGGGAACGGAGTCCCAGCCGCCACGCTTAGCTGCGTGCGCTCTCCACGCCCCCGCTTCCCACCTGTGCCCAGGCCCGACCCCTGCCACGGGAGAGGCTGAGGGTCAGGAAGGTCGTAGATGTGCACGCGCTTCCTGGACAGCCGAGGGCCGCACGCAGAGGGGCGAGGGGGCGCCCTCCTGTTACCTTTCAGCTGGGAAACGTTTAGGAAGCCAAAGCCGACACAGCAGGGGTCCACGTCGCACCGCCGTTCACACTCGAAGAAGCTGGCAGGACGAGAAGGAGCAGGCTGAGGGGCGTCCGAGGCGGCTGGATGGCAGTCACTCTGACCTCTGGGGGCCTGCTCGCCTGACTGCCTAAACTGGGGGTGCTCTGGCCAGTGCCCACGAGCTGATTCCTAGCTTTGAGCTTCTTTCTGAAAACAAATCTCCACTCTGCCATCCTTCGCTCGCTCATTCACTGGCTCGTTCATCGAGATGTATCCCGTGCCTGTTGCGCGCTAGGCTCCACCCAGCATGCTGACGTGTGCTGCAGTTCTCACGGACAGAGAGAGGGGCCCGGCTTTGGACGCCGGGGAGGGAAGAAATGGTGGGGGAGGCGTCTCCAGAAATGGGGGGTTCCGTGAGCTTACAGACGGAGTGACCCAACCAGGTGCCTGTTCAGGTGGCAAAGAGCTGCGCTTGGTTCCCGCCCCCCTTACCCACTCTGCAACAGAGGCTAACAACACTCCGAGGACACACCTGTGTTCGCTGCGTCAGCCCATCCAGGCTCCCTCTCAGGACCTACTCCGCTTAGCGAATAACTCAGTACGGGGGGCCTCAGCACTGCACCCCACCCACAGCTTCTAGGATCAGTCCCGGGAGAGGAACTCAGTGACCCCAAACCAGTGCTCTGGGACCAGTTCCGAGTTCCCTCGCCCTGCGTGCATGTCCCAGCTCTGATCACTCGTTCCCGACTCCTGAGAGCTCGCGCGCACCCTGGGTTCCTCCTCAGGGCGGGGAAACTGCCTCGTCTTTACCATTCTCCTTCCCTGTCTTAGGAGCCCCCGAAGCCAAGTCATATCCTAGTGGAAAAAGCCTCCGTCTCCCGGGCAGCTTTTCCGATGCTGCCTCCATCAGGTCCAGGACGCCCGTGCCCTGCCCACCTGCCTGCCCTCCATCTCTACCTTGACACCTGGGGGCCCTGCCTGTGCCCTGCCCACCTGCCTGCCCTCCACTCATTCCACTTTCCTCCCTTGGAAACCAGGCTGAATGATGTGGTTTCCCACCAAACCACCCTTCCCTGAGTCCCCCAGCCCCAGCCCCGGAACTGGGGACAGGCCGATCCCCGGTTCCGGCTCTCCTGCTTTTTCCATCCTCCCATCAGCATGAGTCACGGCCACCCAGATCTCAGGACACACTATCCCATATCATCTGTTTGCATCCATTTTCAGAAGTAGACCTCAAACTCCAGCAACATGACAGAGGTTTATAAATCAACAACGCTTTCCAGATCAATGGTTCATAGACCGATGACTCGAATTCTGAAGTACGGAAGAATCGCCGGGAGGAGGACTTACTTAAAATTCAGGCTCTCGAGCCCTGCCCCAGGAAACGCTGGTTCAGGAGAACCAGGCAACATCCCAGGAACGTGACTGCTTAAAAGTCCTCCTGGCGATCCCGATGGGTGAGGCCCACGGACGAGGCTGAGAGAAGCATCCCCATCAATGAAAACAACTAAATAGCAGCTACCTACGTATGTAATGAAATACATTTCCAAAATAACAAATTGAAAGTCCATATAAGCCTACGGTCCTGTTCAAAGTTCTACTTGCTCTCCAGATTCTGAATACAGAACAGGGAGATTTAGCTGATTACGTTTATTATAACGCTCGCTAATTCTTATTAATTGATAAGACATGGCTTACGTCTTTTTGCATTTTCTTTTGCATTAGGTCCGGGGCTAAATTTTGTGTTTAAGATCAGCGACTTATCTCAACCACGGTTCTAAGATATGGTCACTTCCTTTTTACCTATTTCACCCTTTGCTTTGGCTTTTATGGTTTTTTATGCGTGTGCCTTTAATGGATATCATGTCGCCCTCTTTACGCGAGCAGAAGGCCTGACTAATAAATACTGGTAGCAGAGCGGGGGCGGGGTGACCTATCTTACCCGTTGGAAACGGGCTTGTCGGACATGGGCACTTTGCTTCTGATGGAAATCCCAGCCAGCTTTTGGAATGGCAGGCGAGTGTAAAAGTTCTTCACTTTCTCTTGCAGTACAACTACACAAGGAGAAAAGAGAAATTCTATTATTTAGGGACAGACTTGTTATATCCGTGAAAACACGAGGGTGAAGGTGTACAAACCAGACCGAGAGCTTCCAGTGAAAGATGGCGCGTCACGTACTCACTCTGTGCTCCCATCCCAAATCTCACTAAAATAGGAGTAAAGGGATTCTTACAGAGCCATACACACAAGAGGATGAAGAGGATGGGGCGGGGGGTGTGGCAACACGGTTTCGGAAGCCAGAAAGCATACAGAAGAGTAGAGAATTGACTTAATAGACCTCAATAAGCTGAATTCTCAACTTTGCTGTAGGAAGAACCAAAAAGTACACCTTCCGGAACCCCAGAAGGTTTAAGAACTGGGATGAGGGTGGGCTGAAACGGGGTGGCTGGAGGTCTCTCTAAGGAGCGGTCAGTCTAGCGCCCTCCTCAGGAGAGGAGGGGAGGCTCATTCTCTGGAGCGGACAGCAGAGAGAGGGTCCCTGGGGGGCACGAGGCAGAGCTGGGGGGCAGCACCACATTGAAAGTAAGGGGTTCTTTCGAGTGAATCTCTGTGGCGAACTCCAACACTGTCATCTCCCAGCCTATTTGGAATCTTAACCAACAGCAGCCGGCCGCGTGCCCGCAGGCAGAGTACAAGATGCCTCGGGACGAAGGACCTAAACATAACGACATGAGGCAGTCCCCACAGGGTGGCCCAATTAGATTGCCCCGCAGGGAAACCTAAGGCCGGCAACTCCTACCACACACTCGGAGCTTGACCACCAGCTTCTGGACCATTCTCTTACATTGGAGTTGAAAACCAAGGGTCACCAGGCAGAGAAAGGCCTCCCACAGACATGACAGATAGAAGAAAGATGACAGCATCTTGGAAGAAATGCAGACTGTGCGGGGTGAAAAAAACACTCTCCTCCCCGCCTCCCTCCCCCCCTCCAAAAAAACTAGTGTCGTTAGTGCCCTCAGAGAGATCAACTTCTGTCTCGCCAGAGGCCCTGTCGCTGAGACTTCCCGTAACGCACAGCCAGTGGGATTCTGCCAGGTCGGTGCACGAGCCGGGGCTGTCTCTGAGGACTGGGATTCCTGGCAAGGTTGCTCCCTATCGTCAGTTTCATGCATTTCTGGATGCCCTCACCTCTCTGCAAGGAGCATGGATCACTGTTTTTTATAAAAAGAATGGATCTGGGTATTTCCAAGCTCGCAGAGGTGGCAGCCCACTAGAAATGCAGACTCCACCATACGCTCACCTTTCTTCCGGAATAGGGTTTCCGGCCTGTGGGGCAGGATCAGGCTGCAGCCTTTGGGACTGGACTCCAGGATGTCATCACACACCTGGGCATCTGGGTAGAGGGTGCAGGTGAAGTACAAGGGGGCGCTGTCCCTTATCTCTGCCAGCTGACAGAAGGAGGGCTCCTGGACACAGCCTACAGGCAAGAGAACAGTGGGCTTCAGTGCATGGGAGGTCCACAGGGGGTGGTTACTGCTGCAGGGTCTTCCATGGAGAGATGCCCCATAGGGACTCTTCTAGACAGGGCAGACGCCCAAGACGCTTGAGGCATCCAGTCTGGAAGGCCCAAGGAAAATGCTGGGCTTCTGCTTGCTGGGGAGAGGGTCACCCCCAAGGGTCCACGAGGCTCTGAATAACGGCAGCATCCACTGGGTGAGGGGTGAGCAGCACAGGAGGAGAGACAGAGAAATCCCGTGGGACCTGCCCAGGGCCATCCCAGAGACTACAGGCCACAGGACTGCAAATATTGAGCTTTGGGACAATCTCCCCTGCTCCCACGCCCCTGTCAGACTTTGCCACTGGTATATGTGAGCTCCCTGACAGAGATTTTGTTTCTTTCTTTCTTATTTGTTTTGTTTTTTCATCCCCAAGGTCAAATACAAGGCCTAGAACATAGCACATGTCTGTTGGGTAAGGCATGGATGGATGGATGGATGGATGGATGGATGGATGGATGGACGGATAAATGGATGACAGATGGATGAATGGACAGATGGATGAAGGGACAGATGGATGCTAGGTTCTGGGAGCAGAGTAGAGATTAACTACACTATAAGCTTCTTGAAAATATAGGCTATGCCCTGTCTTTCTTCTGTGTCGGCCATGGTACTAACACGAAAATGACACCTGAGTTATGCCATTGAGTTTGACCTTATCTGTTTCTCAAGACTTGCTAAACTAGGCCTGTGATGCCTGACCACAGGGTCTGGAAGAACAAAGATGAGGTCTGAGGATACTTACGAGAAAGGCACCACAGGTTCGCCTGCTGAGGTGAAAACAGGTGTTTGAAAAGCCAGTGCTGCTGGCTGGGCAGGGTCCGGTTCCCACTGACAGTCACTTGGTTAAGGTCCACGGGGGAGAAAAGCTCTGTTGTCAGATCTGAAAAAGAAGCAGGGAGTCAACTTCCTTTGCTTTTCTCTCCCCAATCAATTGATCAATCAATCGATCGATCAATCAATCAATCAATGTCTGTCTGTCTCTCTCACATACACACACACATACACAGTGTGAGATCACAGCAGGTCTGGTGTCAACAGCGCTGGAGTTTGGCCAGGCAGATTCAGAAGGTCCCAGAAGGTCCTAAAAATTATGGAGTTGCAAAGCCTTAGAACGTTGGTTTGGAAGAAACCTTGGGAGTCACCTGGTTCAACTTTTCACCCAAGGCAGTGCTCCCCCGTGGTATTTCCGGCGATGCCCCCGCAGCCCCGCGGGACACATCTGGGCCGACCACAGCTGCCGCCCCATCATTAAGAAGTCGTGGAGTCAGGTCCGCCTCCCTGTGACTTCGAGCCACTGATGCTCCTTCCGCCATCGGAAGCCACTTGGAAGTCCTCCCTCCCAAATGGCAGCCTTCATCTGTGACGACAGCTTCCAGCTCTGAGCAGCCCCAAACCTGACGCTTCCAGCTTCACCGTTCTTTCCTGTGTCTTCCCATGCCGTGAGCCCTGGCCGAGGTCTCTTCCTCGGTGCCCCATTGCCTGAGGACAGAAGTCCAAGCTTCCTTCTTGGTCCAGGCTCTACCTGCCCTGTGAGCCTCACCTCCAGGTGCCTGAGCTCACACTCCAGAAGCACGCAAATCCCAGCGCGTCGCTTCACTGCTGGCGGCCGCGGGACAGCTGCCTGCGCTCGCCCTGCATTCACGCCCTCCGTCCTCACCGGCCTAGTCCTCCTGCGCTTCTGGGGCCGACGCGGCTCCCTCCTGCCCTGAGGTTCTCTGGATCTACCAACGGGTTCTCCACCATCCCAGACCCGGGGGTGAGGCGACATCTTGGCGCCTCATGAAGGCTCTGTCTTTCCAGACGGTCTCACATTGGGGGCATGAAGCAAAGGGGCATCACATCCCACATACACCCCCACTTTGCCTCGGAGCTTCCTTACCAGCAACAGCTCCAAAGGGGATGAAAGCTTACGAGCGTCTGCCGAGGCCAGGAGTCGAGCGCTGGCAGAGACCCAGGGACCGCGCTGCCACCCCTCCCCACCCCCCCGTGCCGCCTCGGCCCTTCGGGTTGTCGCATCTCACGTTATTGACTGACAGCCAGTTCGCGTGCCGTCTCCTGGCTAAACCACGCCCGGTACAAGTTCACCCTTCGGACAGCAGAGCGAGGAGACTAGAACAACATGGCTGGCCTGCGGACGCACTTGAACTTCCTGGAGTCACACTCGGCCCTCGGAGCCTTTGTGCAGTTGCTCCCTTACCTGGAACACCTCCTCCCAGGTGTCCCCTGGAAATGCCTGGCAGATAAGTCGGAGAAGCCTCTCCTGACTTCTGCAGGTCACCCAGCACCCCCCATCCCCACACAGCTGCAGGGGCTGGCGCGTGGGATTTCTCACTAGTCTGTGAACGTGCGAGGGCTCAGCTTACATATGCGCTCACGGAAGGTCTGGAGGATGACAGAATGGATACTGCAGCCTGCCAGGCGTGAGGCCGTGCTCCGTCGGTTCCCCTGTGTGTGTCTCAAACAAACACCCAGACTAGCTGCAGTAACCTGAAGCGGAAAGGGGGACATTCCTCGCTGGGCTTTGAATCGGAGAGGCCGTTCGCGGGGACAGCGGGGCGCACAGGCCAGGTAAATGAGAGCGGGAGAAGCCCCTGGCCCCATCACAGAGGAGCGGCTCAAAGGGGAACCTCCTGCAGAGGTGTCGTCTTAAGACCAGGAATGTAATCTGCTGAGAAAGAGAAAACCGAGCCCAGCTCCGCCTATTCACCCTGAATCCCTCTGAGGTCCTGAGTTGAGGGGCCAGCTCTCCTTCCGGTGGAGGGACAGAAGGGGGTCCTCCCTCTGGGAATCACGTGGTAGCTTTGTAGAGTGTCCACGTGGCCCTGGCACAGTGTCTGATGGATTTTACGGAACGTTCTCAAGTGCTGCGATGTCACTCACACTTACTCTGCCACCAGTTAAGGGCGCTGCTAAGGGTGGGGATCCCAGCACCCCAGGGCTGGCAGGGGCCGCCGGAGTGTAGGGTGCCGGGTGGAGATGGGGCAAACAAGAGAGCCGTGCTTTGATGCGAGGGGCGACTCAACCAGCTCGGAGCACGCTGGTCACCGGGCGGAAACTTAAAGCCAGTGTTGCCAGAGATTTTTTTCTGTTTTTCTCCACAGAAGCTGAAAATCTAAATTTTTATATAAAAATCTCCCAGTTTTAAAATATTGGCTCAGTTTAATGAAAAAAGAGTCTACTCTGCGAATCAAACAAAACCCACCTGCTCCGTCAGCCAGGGGGTCCCCAGGACTCGACTCTCAAGTCCACACTGTCTGTTTGGGGGAGCAGCTGGTGTTCCAGAAGAACCCAGGCTTCGGAGTCAGCTGACTACGGTTTGAATCCTGGCACTGCTCTTTGCATAGCACTGGACTGGCTTAAACGAGAGGTACCTAGGCCCTTAAAGCCTCACGTTTCTCACTGGCAACATGGGAATGATGAACGGCTTGGATCAGCAGAGTTGTCGCGATGTTTGCAAGATGATGTCTATAAAGCCCCACAAGGCACCCAGAAGTCTGGAGAGGGGGGACTTGCTGTCTTCTGCTCCGACCCTGGTGATGTTCCAGCTGCAGCTGGACTGTGATGGCTGGAGGCAGATGAACGTGAGCACTAGCCGTGCACCTGGCAGGTTCCCAAGGAAGAACTAGCTTGCCAGTTTGCCAATGTGGGCAAAGAGCAGAAAGGTGAGGGGCCAGGTCACTTTGAGGAAGGGACCCAGCCAAATGCCTGATGAGAACCAGGAGGGGCATCTCCTGAGCATCTCCCACCCACCTCTCCCGCCACCCTGCTGGCACAGTCGAAGCTTCCAGTGGAAAAACCTAGAAGATACCAAAGACATCACGGCTCCAAGTGTTAGGACAGGAACGTGTACTGTGACCCTAGTGTCAATCCCCAGCTGGCCCTGCTATCTGACAGGCAAACGGGAAGAGCGATGGGATGGGAACGAAACCGTAGGGGAGGCTTGCTGACAGCCAGGCTCGGCGCTGGGGTCGCAGTCACCAAGGCCACCACTACCGATCACAAGTGCCACTGCAACTCACAGACCGCCTCTCCTTCCCACGATCGCCTGCCTCGCGGGCACCACAGTGACTCTCATTCCCCAAAGGGGAAACTGAGGCTCGGAGAAGGTGGCTCAGGGCCGCACAGGCACATGGAGGCAGAGCTGTGACTTGGACCCTGCTCTCCTGACCTGAGGACCCACTCTCCACACCAGGACACGACACTCAAGCCTCCCAGCGGGAGTGCGGAAGGAAGTCATAACTGCCAAGCAGCGATTAGGGGCTGAGCCCCGTTTTGCGTGGTTTATGTGCATTATCTCATTGGATCTGCACAAAAGCCCTAGGAAGAAACTGCCGTTGTGGGGGGCGGGGCGTCTTGGCAGGTGAGCACAGTACCATGGCCCGTGCAGGTAGCGGTTAGCGGTTAGCGGTTAGCCGTTAGCAGTGCGTGGCTCAAGCTCTAGTCTGTCTGCTTGGCAATGTGTGATTCTCACACTGGGCCATGCTGTCCACACCTCCCTCCCCCGCCCAGCAGACTGGCCTGCCTCCCCGCTCCCTCCCCCACCCAAGTTACAGCTCCACCTAAGGAATAAGAATTGCAGAAGTGGGGTGGGGGTTGGGGGTGGATAGAGGAATCTCAGACATCACATATATCCTGCCCCTCTTAATGTATGGATTTATATCTTCCACTACACAAAATGACTCTCTCTCAAAAGCCTCTCATTGACATCTCATAATCAAACAACTCCAGAATATTTGCATTTTGTCTTCACCTTCAGGGTTTACCTAAGTGAAGCCACTGACCACAGTCAGAAGAAACTTTTTGTGTGTGTTGCTGGTTTTGTTATTGTGGTCACGTTCTTTTCCAGCAGCGGTGCTGATTTTGCAACGATTTCGCCCTGCTTTCTGCCCCAGCTGTCCCGTGAAGTGTCTTTACTTATGAGGGGGTACATGGGTCCGAAGCCGAGAGGGGGCCTGTGGCTGCAGAACAGTGTCCCCATCTGGTCTCCATAGCCAGACGCCCAAGTTCATACAAAGATATCGGGGGTGGTACCTGCTTCCGCTGGAGGCGCTGGCGCTGGCTCCACGTCGCTCCTACACCCCAAAGACTCAGACCGAGACCCCATGTCAGAATCTAGGAGAAGAGAAAGAACTACTGTTTCAACGGTGGGGAGGCGACGCAGGAAACCCGCACGGCCCGCAGCCCGGTGCCCGGGACAAGCTCCGGGGAGGGGGAATCCAGGGCCAGAGGTTTGCACTGTTTTTGGCCTTTTAGGCGCCATCAGCCAACCTCTCAGTAACAGAACTATCGTCATCCTTGATTTTGAAATTGGTAACGTTTGCAAAGCCCTTTACAGTTAATGAAACATGTTCGTAAATGTTGGTCATGGCAATGCCCTGTGAAGGTAAAGAGTAAGATTTCCATTTTACTTTTGAAAAAACCGAGACTCAAAAGAGTGAAGTAATTTATCCCAGACATTGCAGGTGAGAAGCAGATCAACCGGAACTCGAGAAACTTCAGTAAAATGTCCAACGTGGGCACACCAGGTCTTCCGTGAAGGCAGAGCTGATGCGGGGAACAGGGCAGTAGGCGGGTCTTTGGGGTGCTTCCGGTTAGTGTCACAAATGCCCCGGGGAAAAGGAGTTCCTTAATTTTTTACCAGCTAGCACCTAATTCACCAGATACTTCTGATAACCGGAAGCACTGGACTTGGGACCGTGTCCAGGTCCTACCCTCAGAACCTCCTGTCCGTGCTCCATGCTCCTGCACACTATTTCACGAGCACGGAACCAGTCACCAGTCCTATCCTGAGGCGGAATCGGCAAGGAGAGACCATGGGAAGAGGAGGGGCGTGGTACAGAGGCCGGGTCTTTCCCACGCCCCTCGCATGGTGCCTGTGGTCGTGACTGTCACAGCCCGCTGCTCGTCTGCTCCATCCTGAGGCCATAGCACCTTGCGGGTCAAGGCTGATCCTCACCCATCTCTCTCATCCCACATTACTCAGACTCGTCCCAAATGCCTGGCTCCAAGAAGCCCCCTTGGTCAATGTTCGGTCAACTCAAAGGAGGACAAAAATAAAAGCAGGAAGGAGATGTCAAACATGCACTTATTCGAGGCTCCCTGTTTTGCCCCCAACCTGTCCTATGCATCCACAGTGGCAGGAGTCCACGGTACCACCTGTCTGGCGGCCCATCCCCTCAGCCTGACCGCAGAGGAGGCACCTGAGCCAAGTCCCCTTGGAGAAATGCCTCCCGTAGCCTGCAGCGACCTGGGAGCCCCTATCCTGGAAACAAGGGCAGTCTGTGGTCGGCGAACTTGATCTCGCCAGCGGTCAGCGAACTTGATCTCACAGGAACCAGTGCTTCCTTCCTCCATCCTTTCTTGGGTTCCTACACTTTCCATTTTTTTTTTTTTTCAAATTTTGGTATTTTATCTGATGAGAGTTGAGGCCCTTCTGTCCCACACAGAGTGCTAACTTGCAAAGAAAATCTCTAGTATTTTCTCTCTGGGGAGCAGAGCGCCCTCTGAGTGGGAGCTGAGGCAGGACAGTCTCCTGTAATCCGTGTTCTGCTCACCTCCACTGCAGAGCTTACCTTTCCAGAGATAAACCCGCTGGAAACTGGAAAAGGTGTCCTGAGCTCCTTCCAGGGGTGTCAGACCTGCAGAGGAAGGTGTTTATTTTTATGAGCTTGAACGTGCTTGCTCTCACTGGGAATCCCCCGCCCCCGGACACACATATAACCACGACTGCCTAGCTTTCCCCACACTGGCCTCTCCTGGGTCCGAGAGCTATTTCCCTTATGAGGCACACCCCTAAAAGTCCCTGGGAGCTTATTCCAGCTCCGTGGTACCAAACCAGAGCCGGTCAGACCCCAGGTGTCTTGCTCGGGGGACCAAAGGGACAATTGCGTTGAGCGGTCGTGAACCAGTGAATCACTTAAGGAACTGGGGATTGGCTTAAAGACACACAAAGCTCATCAGAGACTCAGGTGCTGTGCTGATTTTCCATGTCACTTAAGTCCCCCGAGATTCTTGCCTCACTGACCAATAAAGATGGATAGAGATAATTTACATAAATTATCTTCTGCTTTCTTTTATATGTATTACATTATTGGTAGCTGCCATTATTTAATTTACTACTAAATTTTATTTGCTGCCAAACTACACTCCTCTGATGATGAGAGTGGATTTGCCACACCATCTCTTAATGGTCAGGATTTGCCTCTGTTCAGCCCTAAGGTCCCACCAATGTCTCCTGTGATCCGAAAGGCAAAGAGCTCAGGAGACACAGGTTCTGCAGGCAAACAACCCCACACGCCGCAGGAGGCAGCTGGCTCACACCTGAGACATCAGGCAATGATCACGCTTTGCTTTTAAATTATTAAGAGTCACGTATTATGATAGCCAACTATTATCAACAGCAATTGTCATTTACCCAGCACTATAATAAGCACCTTCTAGATATTATCTAGTCTCAACCTCAAAAACAGACATTTTTTGTCCCTAATTTCCAGGTGAAGATCAAAATCCAGAGAGGTTAATGGCAGAATTCAAATCCCATCTGTTTGGCTCCATGTCCCATGCTCTGATCACCACACTAAGAAGACGACATACTTTAGAATTCTATCCGCCCCAAATGTCAAACATTTATAATGGTTCCTGTGGTTAGAGGTACGTATGGAGGTCACTGCAGCTAAACACTGAACTCCTTGGAAAATTCAGCTATTACAATAATGAGTCCCCACCATAAGAGTCACCCTCACCCATTTCTGACATGGGTGAGTCAGTGAGCCTTCACCTTGTCCAGAATACCTGGAGTCTGTGCGACCTGCTCTAGATGGAGTAGAAAGAAAATTAGCCATGTCCTCCATCACCCAGAGAAAAGCAGGTGCTCCGCACAGGTGCACACAGGTATTGGGATACATTTTGGCCCAGGATGCACTGAACTGTGATAGGAATGAGCCTTTCTTATATACTTTTTGTCCCTCTCAAGGCAATGGAGCCCCATGTCTTCCAGCCTGGAAAATATGATGAGTTTAAGCTCATCCTTGGTTTTTGCTCATTTCGACACAATTCAACCTAATGGAGTTCAGTTGAATCCAGCATATGAATGCTGAACATCTCGGTAGGTCCAGAAGGTCATCTGACCAGCATCTACAGAGACTACTGTGTCCTGAGAAGCACCTTTGTAAAGAAGTTGCAACCCCCCCGTGGTTTTAATTGTGAAAATGCTGCACAGAGAGCACCGAGGTCAAAGAAACGACATGGCCCTTTTTCTCCACCTTCATCATCTCCCACCCCCATGTCTACATCCACACGCGCCTGTGCTTTTAAATCGATCAGTGGCAGGAATGGCTGCCCTCTCAGAGTCATCTCCGACTTCTCCCCCTGTGTCTCTCTCCACTTCCAACCAGGCTATTCCCTAAGCGGGTCTTAAGCCACACCCTGCTCTGAACCACCCTCTTCGCCCGGGCCTCATCACAGCTTCTAACATCATTAGACGTTCATGGCCCCTTGGCTCCCTCCCAGCCCACAGGTGCACAGCCCTGGGGCATTGTTCCTGAAAGGTAAACCCACCTCCAATCCCGAAAGAGCTCAGAGTTCACTCTTCTGCCGTCTGTTTGACAGTCTGACCAGCCACCCGCCCAGCGCTGTCTCCCAGGCACCCACCTTCCCAGTCTCATCGGATGCTTGCTTTCAGGCCCCCGCATCACGTCTGCAGGACCTCCTTCTGGAAGACTTCCCTGAACCCCCCATGCGGGCTACGTGCCCCTCCTCTGGATTTGTGCAGCGCTAAACAAACACCCTCGTCCTGAATCTCACACTTGACAGTAATCGTACAGCTCCTTGAATGTCCTAGAGTTTCCTGAGCCTGGGAACTGTGCCTTATTCCTCTCGGTCACCTACACTAATTCCCGCGGGGAACTGGTGTCTGTGAGGAGGAATGAACGATGAAGGCAGAGCAGTCTGCGGTGCTCAGAGCCCCTCGGGTAAGTGCAGAGCCCCATCCGCTCTCGTCCACCCTCTGGCCACCAAATTCGTTTTCCTAACGCAGACTTCTTCACTGCATCGCCTAAAGCTTCCCCGGTTCAATATTATCGATTGTGGGGAGGGCGATAGAATCCAAGCAAGCATCACCCCTCCTCTTCCCTGCTTTAAAACAGTATTTTAAAGTAGACGGCTTCGACTGCCCAGACCTCCGTTCCATTCCCTCCATGACAGCTGGGCGGGAACGTCCCTGTTACACAAACAGGCCCCCAGACTCTGACCCATGCCCGTCCTCTCTGTAATCAAGGCTGCAGGCACACGGACCCATAGGACTATGGAGGTTTGGCGTGGAGCCTGGTCCCTGACGGTTGACGTGAGCGGTGTGGCCGTACTTTACTTCAGAACATTTCTGCCGGGATCGCGGGCTGGGTCTGGGGCGGTTGGTCAGAATCTGCAGTCCGCGAGTGGCCAGGACCCTAAACTGGACAAGCCAGGTTTCAGAGTCCGCCTTTTACCTGCTGCCTTCTCTCTGTGCCACTTCCTCCGGCTTCTGCTTGTATCTCTCGCCTTCCCTAAATAAATCATACTCCCGAATCCTTGTCTCAGGCTCTACTTAGTGCTAAGCACATGGTAACACACGATGGATGATAGCTATTATGTTGTCTTATTTGTAAGACGATACACATCTGCTCTAGGTGCACCTGGGGCCATCACTGACACATTGTCTCGACCTCGCTCCCAGCACCACAAGATAATGACCGTCACTGATACAAAATCGGTTCCTGTGAAGGGGGTGCCAACCATCAGGCCACGCCCCACTGTCCCTCACCGACACAAAGCTCTGCAATTCTGAGTAAGCCCAGGAGTATTTCTGCCAAGGTCTGTTTTTCCTGCCAGATTTTAAGTCCCTACGGGCACTAGGGGACATTTAATCTGCCTGTTTTTCATTCATTTGCACTTTAAGACATTGTCAGAAACGAGGCGTATGCAGCCCCAGAGCTTTCCAAGCCTTTTTTCTTAGGAGTAGAAAGATGGATCCAGCCAACACTTAATAGTTGAAAACACCCAGGGAGCCCGTTGGGAACTTGGGCGGTGCAGACCCAGGGTGGACGCCCCCTTGAGGCGTGAAGGTTAAACGGAAGCGGGGGGACGAGTGAGCCCAGCAACTGCCCCCTCATGCCTGTCCACACACCTCCCCGCTCAGCTCGGCACTGCACCCCTGAGCCCGGGATCCCTGGTCCTGTTGACCCTTGCTCCCCACAGACCCGTTAAGTCTTGAAGTAGAACATGCTGGTAGCTCCAGCCTCCATTTTGGATCAGGCTGCCCGATCCCCATCAGAGGATATCCTCCTTAAAGCTTTGCCTGCATCCCAAAGTATGTACACAGGACACTGAAAAAAGACCCGAAAACTTCAAAAGCCATTCGGGACCCACGCCTCCTCGGCCAGGCCAGACAAGGGCACCGTCTTGACTTTTTGTCACATACCAAGCACGCGCTCTGTGTTAAGCAATTCACTGTGGATTTGTTGCCCATGAAAATATCATACGCCTTCTTTCAAATACTTGTTTTCACCCCGGCCTTCCTCTCAGAGTAATAGATACCATATGTTTACTATCCATCTCATAAATAAGCTGCTTGATTTTATTTACCCCAGAAGAAACTAAACTAAGCGCCATGGAATTCCACCAAATTCTGCAATATTTTTTTCCAGGCTTTTGATAAATACGCACTCCACAGATATTGTGTATTCTCTATGCCAAGTTTTATGCTTGATGGTGTATATCCAAAAATTAATAAGACACAGTCCAGTTCTTAAACTATAACAAAAAAACAATCACAGATTTTAAAAACGATAATAATATTATCTAATACTAATACTATGTGTCAGACACTTTGTAAGCCCTTTACATATTATCTGTTTTTCATTCATTTGCACTTTAAGACATTGCCCCCTGTCTGGCTGACATATTACAGATAATATGTAAAGGGCTTACAAAGTGTCTGACACATAGTATTGATATTAGATAACATTATATATACTATATACATATACATATATAGAGGAACTAGATTGCCTGGTTTCAGATCCCAGACTTTCTATGGAAAAGCTCTGAGACCCTGGGAAGTCCTCACTGCTGTGTGCCTCAGTTTCCTCAGCTGTAAAATGGGGATAATGATAATAATAGTGCCCCCCGCCCGTCACAGCATTGTGCTGAGGATTCATGAGTTAGTAAAGGTCAAGACCATAGAGCAGTGAGTGCCTGGCTCATAGTAAGTGCAACACGAGACATTTCTATTACTGCCGTTACTGTTATTATTGTCTCCTTTCACTTTTAGAGCATCTCCGTGAGATGGGGACGGTCGTTAACCCATTTTACAGACAAGCTGTTAGGCTCGAAGATACTTATTGACTTGATCAAGGTCAACGGGTGTCCGGAAGCTGGGATTCCACAGCGCAGGCAAACTCTCCGCTGGGCTAGTGAGTGAAGAGGACAGGCAAAGGCACTTCGGCGCCTGGCCCGCTGCACTCACAGAGCGTCGCGTGGCGCATGCGCGAAGCTCTGGGAGGTCGTCGGGGACGGCTCTCGGAGGAGGTGACGTGAGCTCTTCACCATCAGAGCTGCAGTCTACTGAGAACCAGGTCTTGGAAACCCCTTGGGGAGGCAGGAGATGGTCTGTGCCGGCTCTTGGAGAGGAGGCCTCCGACAGCTCTGCCAGGGCAGCTCCTTTGACCTCCCGTCAACCCCTGCCCTCCTCTGTCTGGCTGACACCTGCAGGTGCTCTCGCGCCCTCAGAGGGTGGACTGGAACCACGGCGCTGAGTTCTGAGTTCAGGTGCTGGCGCATCAATAGCACAGAGAGGAGGCAAGAGGTGACCGAGCACCTAGGCCCTGTTCTCCCCGGACTTATGGCATTGGAAGGATGATCAGGGGACCTTCCAGGATCTGAGTTCAGGTGCTGGCGCATCAATAGCACAGAGGGGAGGCGAGAGGTGACCGAGCACCTAGGCCCTGTTCTCCCCATGAACCCGGACTTATGGCGTTGGAAGGATGATCAGGGGACCTTCCAGGCCGCCTGGTCCATGCTTCCCAAACTTAGCAGGCACAGCATCATCCAGACGGCCTGTTAGAACAGATTCCAGGTCCAGCTGGGGGTCTGGGGTGGGCCCTGAGAATTTGCATATATCATGAGCTTCCGGTGATATGGAGCCTGCCAGTCCCAACCACCACACCAAGTACTGGTGCGGGCAGTCCCCAGCTCAGGACAGAGCAGGGTCCACTCCTCCTGGATGAGGGTCGGCTGAGAGAGGACAGTGCAAGGCCGGGGGAGGCAGAGGTAGGAGAGCCGACCGGCCCCGGGGCGGCCTCAGGCGCTAGCACCACTCCCTATATGAGGGGGTGAGCAGATGACCTCAGAGGTGACCTCTCGCTCTGATGCTAAGATTGTGAAGAAGATCAGAAGGGCTTCTGAAAGAAAGAAGGGGAAAGAGCGAGCTTGGAGGGAACTTCTGCTAACGGAGCCCACTGAGGCACCGCGGTCCCTCGCGGCCCCTCCGCGTAGAAGGGCGGCAAGGTTGTTGGCACAGAGGGGGGCCATGGCCTGGGGGCACCGATCTGGGGGACAGCTCACATTTCTGGCCCCGGTTCTTCGCCCCTCCTCGTAGTCACACGTTTTGCATGGACTTCGCAGTCCTTGCCACTAAAGCTGCCAAGTGCATTTCCCCAGCCCCACACGTTCGGTGGGGCTGTGTCATCAGCCATGGCCAGCACAGTGAGACAGAAGCCACGGGGTCGGATCCAAGCCTCGACCTCTGTGGGCCTGACCTGTTTCCTGTCCTCTCGTGCTTCTGCCATCTACAGGAGAAAATGTCCTCATCCAGGAGAAGGATGAGGGCCTGACAGGCGAAGCAGTGCCAGCCACCCCAGCCAGGTCCAGACCAGCCAACTGCCACCCGACCCCCAGGTGCACGAGTGAGCCCGGCTGAGGTCGGCCGGCTGCCTACTGAGCCGGCCCATCGCCAGCGACCTGTGGCCTCGAGAGCTAACTCGTGCCTCTCATGGAACGCTGCTGAGCTGCTGTGGTTGCTTTTTATGCAGCATTTACGGTACAGTCTCTTTTCAGAGGTATAGACCCCTGAGGGTGTGGACAGGCCTCCTCAGAAAGTAGCAGAAGACCTCGCTGGGGAGGAAAACGAATTCGGAAGGAACGTGGGCTGAAGACAGAGACTCACTCTTGAATTCCTGGCCTCCCAGACGCAATGTCACCTGGCGGCTCGCTCGGTCGTAGGTCATGCCAGGACAGGTAGCATTAGCCTGGGCTTCGGAGGGATTCCTCCAGTCTTCGACATTGCAAAGCAGGACGTCGGGGGAGCTCAGCAACCCACAGATGATGGGACCTGCAGATCACGAGAGGGACGAGGGGTAGATGTGATGGGGGACATTTGTGACAGGGGACAGGCAAGGCCCCCTTAGAAGCTTGCCTCTGTGCCCGAAGAGGCTTCTAGGGTAGGGATGGGAGACAGCTCCTCGGGAACGGAGAGGGACACTGGAACTCAGGAGCCTGGTTTTGAACTAGGTCGTTCTTCCCTGCGGGTCCTACGGTTGTGTCACTGGCAAATTCCCAAGGGAAGCGCCACCACCTTGCCTGCTGGCCCTTTCCTCCCTCATTAGAGGCCGTCTTCGTGCCAGAATCCTCCATCCCCATTTCCTACCTCCATCCATCAGAGTCATCTTTGTGAAACTTTAAGGAAGTAAATGACAGCTTCTCTCTCTCTCTCTCCTAATTTATATCCAAATCCAGATACAGCTTCAGACTTATCTCTCATCAAAATGTCCCCAAAGTAGATGACTCATGTGTGTCTGGCTTACAAATCGGACATTTTGTCCTCCTCCCTTCCACGGGCCACTTTTCACCCGCAGTCATTTAAAAGTCATCATCAGCAGCAGCAGCAGCAGCAGCAGCAGCATCTCTGTGCAAAAAAAAATGAGCCTGGAGATCCTCTAACGTGGTGGTTCCCAAACTAGGTGCTTAAGCCGACATGTAAAAACACAGGGAGGGTTCTGGAAACGCTCGGTCCTTGGCACCAGCCACAGAGCTTCTGACTTGATGGGGTCGCAGGGTGGGGGCAGGGGACACTTGGGAATTGGTGTTTGTAAACAGCACCACAGATGATTCTAGTGCACAGCCAGATGCCCTGACCTGCTTAGACTGCTTCATGGCACAGAGGAGGGAACGGACGCACGGGAAGGGAGATGGTTTTACTGGCCGACGGGGAAGCAGAGTGGCTGGCAGGTGGCGAGTGGTTCACCAAGGCCCAGGCTGAGCTCCGGGGTACAGAGGTGCAGCAAGAGCCCGCTGAGAACTCAGAGGAAGCCTGAGCCCTGTGGCTGCGCCCCTCTCAGGCCAAACACCGGAACCGCGGAATTAAACAAGAGGCGGTTGTGCCTTCCTTCCGCTCGCAGACCCCCGAAGGGAACGCGTGCAGCTTCTTCCTACTGCTAAAGCGTCAGTGGGAATTCCGTATTTCTGAGAGGTGGGGGTGGCTAGGGGTTAGAGGTCACTTTTGCTGATCACACTGTCAGCTCTGATCACACTCCCATGAACCTCAGGCCGCGAAAGCCCCTCTGAACCTTCCCTCCAAGCAGCCTCAACTAAAATGCGAGTCCAGAGCCTCCTGGATTTCTATTAATAATTATCAGTGGAAACAAAGCCATTTAGAGGTTGGAGGCTGGAGGAGGCTGGAGTGTTGCTGGGATAAAGGGAGAGGGGAGGAGGGGGAATCTACTAGAAAGTTAAGTGGATTTCCAGACTGCGGTGAAAGGATACGGCAGGATTCTGTTCCTGGTCGTCAGCAGACCCAGCCAAAGCTTTGCAAGCTAAAACTCCAAATCTGCCCACTGGGCAAGCCTGGGGAATACATCTGCCTGATGTGTTACGTCTGTCTCGAAGACAGCTTAACTTGCAGGATGGCGAGGTGGCTGCTCGGCTCAAGAGAAATCACAGATCCCGGGTTAGTCTTAGAGGGGAAGAAAGTGAGGTGCTAGCCAGCAACAGCATGGAAAGAGGGGGTGTTGCGGGCTAACTGTTCCATGAAACAAAATACTTCTTCCATACATGATCCTAAGGAAAATGAAGTCAATCTTTCCAATTTGAATAAACCGTATGGTCTGGTGAGTGCCCGAGCATCTGCAGAAAAGGCGTTTAGTTCAAAGAAGGCAGAAGCTTCTGGATTTGCTAAGAACAGGTACACAGAAAGCCATGCTGTACACATGCGCAAGTGCACGGGCGCGTGTACGTGTACATAACGCCTGTCATCTATCTATATGTACATTATCTTATCTAAACACGAACAGGAACGCACATCATGTAATCACAGAGATTGAACCTACCAGGAATTTAAGGATCCAGCTCAGTCTAATCCAGATTTCTGCCCTATGACTCCAACAAAACATTCTCATTTTAGCTGCCACGGACCACTCTGAGCTAACCGCACCAGCTCTCAGTAATCACCTGTTCGAACGCTCAGCAGCATTCAGAATTGTCGATTGACAACTGCCTTCACTTTGATTTCCATGAAGCATCACCCTCCTGGATCTCCCCGTCCCTGTCCAGCTGCCTGTTCTCTGTCTTCCCTGAAGATTCTCTACCTGTTGTGTAGGTGTTCACGGGATCCGTCCCCAGCCCCCTCCATCAACTCGCCCTGTACTTCCTCTGATACCTCAATGCCAGAAATTCACACATTCCTATCTCCTGCTAGACTTTCCCTCTGAGCTCTGGATCTGTGTACCCAAAAGCTGTCCACATCTTGTGAATATCTTAAAAGCACTTCAAAATTAGCCTAGCCGCATGGGATTCATGACCTTCCCTAATCTCTCTCTCCCATCACCAAATCCGACATCCGATCCCTTCCGTTACTCACTGTACCAGCGAACGACCCAACCAGGTGACCAAGCTAGAGAGCCGAGAATGATCTGACACTTCCCTTCTCAAGCCCCGCATCCAGAGTCCTGCCGATACTGCCTCCTAAACGTACCTAGAATCCGCCCCCTCTTCTCCGTCTCCATTGCTGTCACCCCAGCCTCAGCTCCCGTCTCTGCTCCCTGGACTAGTGGGATGATACTTAACTCATCTCTCTGCATCTACTCTGGCTCCCTACCCATTACCTTCTGCACACGGAAGCCGAAGTGCTCATTTCAAAATTCACGTCGGATCACGACACTCTTTTGCTTAAAATTTGCAAGAGCTTCCCGTCATTCTTAGAATAAAAACAACTTTTGGCACAACGCACAAGGTTCTCCATGGCCTCGCCCCCGCCTCTGCCTCCTGCCCATCCTCAGACCAGGGCCCCGTCTTCCCGCCCAGCTCTCTGCACCAGGGACCATGGCTTCCCCCCAGCTTCTCCTTTGTGTCACACACCCTCCCACCACAGGGCCATTGCAGGTGCCATTCCCGCCGTCTAGAGTTACCTTCCCCCTTCTTCGCACTTAGTTAAGATTTACCTAACTGGCATTGCTCGGTATTTGGGGAAGCTATACTCTATCACCCTGAATAGGGCAAAACATGTGTTATATGTTTTCAAAGTCATATTTACCTTTTATTTAGAGTCAGGCCGTTAATAATTATCCTTTTCTCTCTCTGGGTTTGATTGGAAGGCAGTGGGGTCAGGGAATAGACCACACGCTCCTCATGCCATGAATCAGGCAACCCGGGTCCTAGTTCCCCTTGCTGACCACCGGAATGTGGGCATCGGATAGATCACGTCCTCTCTTTGGGATCGACCGAGTTCACCAGCATCGCTCAGCACCTACAGGGTGCGTGGCTCTCCGAGGGACTGCGGAGAAATGGCTGTTTCTTAGTGCCAGACATTTTAATCCACCAGGGAAAGGGATGTGTGAACTCAGATACAAACAGCAGAGACAAAATATTTCACGAAGAGGAGAGCGTGAGTAAGGCTTAGAGCTGTATGGGCTGATTTCAAGGGTAGGAATTTAGCGCTGGGGGGTGGGGTGGGGTGACAGCAATTATGAGATTGCCACACTTGACAAGAGGAAAATAACACAGTCCAGATTACAGATGGCTGAGGTGGAGGATGAAAGACATCTCTATCCCAGCGACGTCACGAAAGCAGCAACAAAAAAAAATGGCCGTGACAAATGAGGGAAGGGAGCTGCGAGGCGACTCAGCAGGCTGCCCGGGTCTGTGGCATGGCTGCCCTTCCCCGAGATGGGGTTCATAAGAGAGGTGGCTCGTTTAGGGTGAAACTATCCATTCCTGTAGAGACGAGCTGACTTCGAGACGCCAGTGGGACACCCAAGGGATCCACCCAGACAGCAGACGAGTGCGTGGACCTAGCCCTCTGCCAGAGGAACCCACCGACAGTCAAAGGAACACGCAGGAAGGCGAACGGGACCGAGAGGCCTGAGTAAGAGAAAGGGGTCTGGGAAGTCAGGAGGGTCTACAGAACCAGGGGGTGGTCCAAAGGGTCACTGCTAGGGACAACCAGCCAAAGAGGATGGAAGACCCTCCTGGGACGGGCGACCGGTGACCGAGGTGATGAGGTTTCAGATCGTAGGGTTTGGCTCTGGTGGAAAAGGAGAGAATTAGAACAGGACCTGGCGAGAAGGCTGCGCTGTGCTCCAGGTGGCTCTCAAGGAGGGAGAGAGTCTAAGAATCTTAGAGGACATGCAGAGTGGGGGACAGCGAAGGGCACTGGCTGAGGACAGAGGGGGTGGAACATGGGAATGAGGATGGAGCCAGCCCACCCCCCACCCCCACAAGAAGGCGGAGGCGGTCGGCTCTAGCAGCCAGGAGGTGGGGTTTGCCTTCTCAGGACCGATGACATGCAGATACTGGAGTTGATCACAGGTGCTATCTGTGATAGGTGCTTTAAAATGACCTGCCGACTGAGAAGCCCAATGTCACAGTTAATGTTCTTCGGCACACACAGTCTTCCTGCCTCTAGCTCGGTTCACAGGAAGGGCCGCCAGGGACAGACTCTTCCGCTTTTCTCGTCATGTAAACACTACCCATCCCACCAAAACTGGCCCGCATGTCTCTTCTTCCAGGAAGCCTTCCCTGACCACCAGGGCCCCTTGGTACCTCCTTCCTTTGCCTTCTAAAGCTCCAACGGTCTCGATACTTCTGCTGCCTCTCGAGCCTAGTGCCGAGCAGTGCTCAGGACCTGTCTGCTGGATGACAGCACGAATGACCGAGTGAAGGTCACGGTCCTTTCGTGATACACCTCCCCCCTCCACTAGACTCCGAGCTCCCTTTATCTGTTCCCAGCACCTAGCACACTGGACTCTGCACATATGAAGTTCGTTACTGACTGAAAGCGACTACTTTAATATTTTTAATTTTCAGAATTCTCCATACATCAATGTAGCCAGTCTCATAGGTGGCTGTTAAGCCCCTCTGTTACTAAATTCATAGCACACCAGGAACCAAATCCAAGTCTAGCATTTTGTGCCCATTATCTTCCTAACAAATAGTCAAATAAGAATTACCATTATCTTTATTTTATTGGCAGGAGAACTGCAACTTAGATAGTTTAAGCAACTTGCCCAAGATTACGCAGCCAGAAAGTGACAGAGCAGGGACCAGAACCAGGTCTGTGTGACACCAAAGTCCCTTCTCGATCACTAGGGTACATAGCCAAGTACACGAATTTATTTCTGTAAACAGAAGTCCATCCCCGCTGTTGAGAGACAACGGAAAATTCCAGTCCTACAGATGACAGGGCCTGGCACACAGTAGGCACTCAAACTGATAACCTTTGAATGAATGATCATGAGGGATGAGAATGAACCCCTGTTTTTTGACGAATGTGGCCAGCCCAGGCTTCAGAGGTGTCAACGAGGAGCTGTCAAAGGCACACCTGGGCTCGAATCTCGACTCTATCGCTTTGCAAACTATGGACCGTGAGCAAATGGTTTAAATTCTCTGAGCCTCAGTTTCTCAGTTTGTAAAATGGAGCTCGCGATACCTGCCCTGAACATAGCAGCAAGGAACAAAATCAGTATGACAGCGTGAAGTGGCTCGCACGGCATGTGACATGTCAAAATGGTCAGGGATTGTCCCTGACTTCATGTCTGTGAATATCCCCTCCTACGTGGGTGGGGTCACCTCACGCCTGCAACCCCCACAGCAGTTTCCATATCGTACATCCTGGCTTCTGTGACCCGTCTTTGGTGGACCCCGGGTTGTAAACTACATCACCTCCTCGGACTTGCATGAGGATGAAGCCATCGCAGCAGGAGTCACGGTCACAGGCAAGAAGGCAGAAGAGGTGCACCTCCATCCGATCGGCCGCTGAGGCTGGGAACACGACAGGGCTGTACATTCCTGAGAGAGTGTTTTGGAAACCAGTTTGTTCGAAGCTTTTCTGGCTCGTTGTGGTAAATTCTGGGTCTGAGAGAAAAGACAAGGAAAAAAGTTAAAAGATCTCAAAACTACGCAGAGCTGACCAGAGTTTGCTGGTCGTAGGACAGTGGACCCTCTGATTGTGCTGGGGGTAGCGTGTGGCTCACAGTGAGATGCTTTCTGGTCCCGAACCAGCAGACCTGGACCACTGCCTGTGACACTTTTGAGAATTTAAAGGGGAGGATGGAGGGCTGGTGTTTGTTGTCGTTATTATCACCAGCAAATACTTATTGGGCACCAACTATACACACGGACACTGTGTCACGTGCTTAGGGCGTGACCTCGTTGTGTTTCGCTGCTCTGTGCGTCACGGTCCACCTGCTCCACTATCGCATGCGTTTCTGTCATACAAAGTGGTTCAAACGTGTGGTGGGCAGGAAGCTGGGCCCCCGTGATGCTGAAGTCGCGTCGGTTAATCTACAGTTTTCCCCAGCATGTCACTGCCTCGTGCCATCAAACAACAGGCGAATGCAGAACAGTCAAAAGCAGCGGAACCCGGGAAGCTGCAGGGAAACGGGAGTGTACGCCATGCCCGTCGGCCACGTTCTTTCTCAGACCGGCCGACGGCTCTGTCTTCAAAGTGACACTTGTGATTTCCCCTCCTCTTTGGACTTCTGGCCCTCGCCTTCATAACTCAGCAGTCCTGACCCTTCCCTGCACCCACCCCATCAAGCTACCTGCCCTTTACATCTCCGGCAGCATTTCTTTGGGAAGGGTTCAATATGTCTTTTTTAAACTGTGGATTTTAAGTGGCATTGTTACCAATTTTGTCATTCTCCCGGTTAGACATGCCATGGCTTAGGCTCTGCCTGTTCCTAACTCCGGTTTTCCCGTAAGCCCTATTATTTTTAGAGCATCATTTTGCAAATATGAGATTTTTTTCAGGGACTGTAGCCAAAACGTCTGTCCTATTATTATGTCCATTTTACATCTGAGGAAAGAGAGCCTTGCCCAGCGAAGAGTCTTCGAGCCTCGGTCTCCACAAATGGTGGGTGGCAGAAGGAAGGCCAAGGCCAGAGCCTGCGCTCTTCACTGCCCCAACCTCCCACCGGCCCAGCAGCCCACCAGTCCTCCCTGACTCGTGCACCCAGAGGGAGTGGAGCATGTACCGCGTGGGACCCAAAGCACAAGCTTCAGAACAAGACACACCTGAGTGCAAATCCCTATAGTACCCCCGGCAAGCAAAGTCCTAATTCTTTGGAGCCTCAGCTTTTCCATCTGTACAATGGGGATGACAGCATGTGATCCTCTCAGATGTTAAACAGATAAAAAGATAGACCATATGTAAAAAGGCTGAGCAAGGAGCCCACCCTTAGCTGCTGCTCAGGTCTCCAAAGGGCCGGCATCTCCCGCTCCACGCACTGGCTCTCGCTGTGCTGGCAAAGCCCCACCCACTCTTCTCCAAAGCCCATCTGCACATAAAGAGTCCATCCCCCAGGTTATAAAGGGTCCATCCCCCAGGTTATAAAGGGTCCATCCCCGAGGTTATAAAGGGTCCATCCCCGAGGTTATAAAGGGTCCATCCCCGAGGTTATAAAGGGTCCATCCCCCAGGATTTTTACGGTTAGATTTCATTTCTCCCTTCCTTGATCTCTCTTACACTCTAACACTACGGTCTCTAACATCCTTGACCTTGTACTTAAGCCACTTGAAGTAGCGTCCGCTTCCCCCATCAGCCTGCGATTCCCTGGTGCCATTCCTCGCCGTCCCGGGCAGTGGCACTAGCCGTATGTGACTATCCAAATATCGATTTCAGTTCTTCAAGGTTCATGTTGCAATAGCCACATTCCAAGTGCTAGTAGCCGCGTGTGGCTACCGGCTATCATTTTGGACAATAAAGATTTATAGGACATTTCCATCACTGCAGAATGTCCCATTGGGCAGCGTTCCTTGGACTATAGAGCCAGGTCTCGGCTCACCTTGGCATCCTCCGCGTGGCCCTGCACAGGTGACCATTGCGCTGAGATCATTGTGGGGGAGGCGGGGCTTCTCCTCACCCTGCAGACGCCAGCTCTAACACCCGCCTCTGAAGTCCCTTCCCTGACCACCCTAAATCAGCTCATGGCCATTCTTCTTACCATTTTTTAATCGTGATGGACTATGCACAACGTAAGATTGATCATTTTAACCATTCTTAAGCGTTCAGTTAAATGGCATTAAATACATTGACATCGTCGTGCAGCCATCGCCACCGTCTATCTCTAGAACTTTTCCTCTGTCACTAGCAAACACTAACTCTCCCTCCCCCCTCTGCAGTCCCTAGTAACCACGGATCGACCGTCCGTGTCCGTGGATGGGACCGTCTCAGGTGGCCCATGTCCATCTCTATCCCATTGTCCTGTTTCATTTTCTTCGAAGCCCGTGTCACCCTCTGAAATGGTCTCATTACTGGATCGATTCCTTTATCAATCAGTGGTTCTGTCTGTTTCGCTCACAGCTGCATCCACGGCACCTGCCCAGTGCGTGTCACACCATGGGTGCTCAGTAAACACTTGAGGGACGTGGCAGCACCGAGCAATGCACTCGAGGGTCCCAGGCGCTGCAGCAGGCTGGGCACGTCGTTCAGAGTTGGGCGGGCTGTGCCCCGAAGTCCTGGCACGATGCTGCCTCCTTCCAGACCTCCCCTGTGAAATGAGGGGTTGGGCCAGACCATCCGCAGAGACCCTCTGGGCACGGTCTTCCTTTGATGCTGAAAAATCACGTGGCTCCTCCTCCATCTTCAAGGCCACAGACTGGAAGCGGGTGTAGGCGGGGGACGGTACAATGACGGATCAAGCTGTCCTACCGTCCAGGTCACTGAAGCTCAGGCCTATGAATGGACACGGTTCACTGCCTACTAGGTGCCAGGGCTGTGCAGGGGACTTTCAGAAACCGTGTCCTTTACCTTCCATTTTATTCTCATTTTACTGAAAGTAAAACTAGGAGGCCATTCCTGCCCAGAGCGGGAGGAGGGAATCTGAGGCCAGATCCGGCTTATGCCGACCTCCTTTCTCTCTCTACTGCACCCGAATCCGGAATGGCTGGGTCTGTGCACTTTCTGCTTTAAAACTAATGTTGTTGTTTTTTTAAAGCAAAACAAAATGAAAAGGCAAAACATACAGTTCTGCTGTTGGTGACTTTGGCAGCAAGAAGCATCCCAATTTCCCTTGCGATCTACCTCCAAAGTACACACTTTCAGGAGAGAAGGAGGAGGGAAAAAAAATACTTAAAAAGAAATAAAATTGTATTTTTAAAAGATGTGATTAAAGGCCAAGGTATGGTTTTAAAGAACGTTTTTGGGAGGGGCTACTTCTGTTATTGACGTTTTCCTTTTTAGAAAATAACCTGTATGCTTTGTTATTTTTGAAATGGATAGTGAATGTAATTGGAATAAATACTGGGGCAGAGGTTCCGGTCACCCTGGCTGCAGATGGAAGACGTGGCACGTTGCCGGACTCCACCCTCCCAGGGGAAACATCTGCTCACACAGGATGGAGGCAGCGGGTGACAAAAATAACCCAGTAGAGACACAAAGCACAAATGCCTGTCCCTGCCGAGAGCCACTACCAAGGTCAGAGGAGGCTCTGGGCCTGGGCTGAGGCTTCAACCCCGCTCTCTGCCAGCTGTTCATGGCTTAAGTCCAAAGCTGCCGGGAGCCACGCCACCTGCCCTGAGTTTGGACTTAACAGAATGGCAGGCCTGCCACCCTGCAGTCCACCCCCAAGTCCCTGTTCGGGCCCCCTCGGCTGTCCTCTGGTCCCCAGGCTGAGCCTCGCACTATCAGGGAGCTTTTAGCAAGAATGGAAACACCCGTCGATGTCTCCGGCGCTTGCCATTTCCGCGTGCCACGCACTGTTCTAAAAGCTTCAGACGTGTCACCTCATTACTGTGACTCTTATTTGACTAGTGAGGAAGCACAGACACCTCGAATGTCAAGGAATATGTCCCAGATCACGCAGCCGGTGTGACAGGGCTGGGACGACCCAGGCAGGCGGCCTCCCAGCATCCTCACCCTCATCTGCGGGGAGCGAGGGCCCCACAGAGCAGTGGCCAGCGGAGGCATCGCAGCTCACGGGGCAGAGCCTAGCTGTGGCCCAGGCCTCCCGACCCTGCATAGCTGGTACCCCTCTCGGCCCTGACGGAGGGGAGGCAGGAGACAAGCGGGACGGGGCAGAACCGCACGTAGGAGAGAGCTGCTGCGTCTCCCACATGCGCCGCGAAGACCGGAAAGTGTTCATTCCGTTTGCCCCTTCGGGAAGGGGAATGCGGACACGCTTAGGTTCACACCCAGCTCCCGGTTTTCTAGCAGGATGACCTTGGGCAATCTCACTCTCCCTAAGCCTCAGTCTCTTCACGTGTAAAGTGAAGATTCCTCCAAGAATTTCCGTGAGGGTGGAATGAAAGAATGCGTGGGCAAGTGAGCTGTAAACTGTTCAAAATGATACACCCCAGCTACTCAAAGTGTGGCCCAGGGACCAGCAGCTTTGGCGGTCCCGAGAGGCTGTTGGAAAGGCAAAATCTCTGCCAAGACTGATTGATCGCCTCGGAATCTGCATTTGCCCCCCAAGACCGTGGAGGTCCTGAGCACAGGCTGATGACAGCCAGCGCTCGGACATTTGGTCCAGCCGGGAGAAGGTCTGCCCACTTCCGGGGAGGGAGGGGATGAGAGAGGAGGAGGGCGAAGCTCCAAGGGTGGAAGGCGCAGGAGGGGCGGGTGCGGGGAGCTCAGAGCCCAGACGCCGCCGAGCCACAGGCAGCCTCACGGGGCTGCGTCCCGCACCCAGGCTGGGCTCTGCCGGGCTCCGCCAGCGGCCTCTGCATCTGCTCCGCACCCCAGTTCCTCACCTGCCGCTGACCCCTGTGGGTCGTGCTAAGGATCAACCATGAGGATGATTTAGGCCGAGGGGAGAGAAGCCAGGTACCGTGCCCGGCGTGGGCTGGGGGCCATCCGCTCCTCCCTGAGTGCACAAAGCTGGGAAGCAGTGCCAAACCTCGGCCAGGTGAAGCTGCCGAGGCCGCCAGCCATCCAGATTGACCCACTTACCCTTTTTCAAATACACGGCCGGAGAGCCTCGAGCCCCGCTCCTCACTCTGACCTGGCACCTCAGACTTCCAAAGCCGATGGCCTTCGAGTTCCCCATGGCGGCTTGAACCTGAAGACAGAGAAAGGCGGGATCACCGTCCCATGATAGTCGACCCAACGCGACAAGCGTTGGTCAGACCCTAACTGTGGCCAGGCGCGGAGGCTGCGAAAATGAAGAAGAGGAGATCGTCGCTCGGGGGTGTGGACCGGTCAGTCCCCTGGAGCACACTGCGTGTGAGCAGCAAAGACACGAGCAGTTCAAGAGGAGGTGACTACAGAAGACGGAGCCGCGCCTGCCGACATGGATCTGGAGCGGTCCTGACGCACAGGTAAGTGTGTCAGGTGGAAGCAGGAGAAGGGGGATGTGAAGCAGAGGACCCGGCAGGAGCGGAGACTAGGAATTCTGAGGTGTCATGAGAACGAGGTCCGCTGGTCCCGGGGGCTGTCACTCAGCAGGTGGGCGATGGTGGGAGGAGGAGAGGCCGTGGCCAGCTCTCGGATGCCCTACTAGGCACACAGCTTTCATCCGGTGAGGGTCGGGACGAGGTCCCTAAGCCTGGAAATGCAGAGGTCAGACTTGCAAAGACCTGGCCGTCCCCACGTAACGCCGATCCCCATTTCTATTGTCGCTTCCTTGCTGTGTGGGTGTGAACGATAAAGCTGTTTTTATCAAGTTCTTTGTTGTTCCCAGTATTTTGTCCTCCCCGCAAAGTTGCCCAACTCTGAGTTTCCTGGCTGGGAATTTTGGGGAGGGCAGAGGCTCCCGCGAAGCTACATGATATAAGGCAACGGCTCTTCCTGCTTTTGGAAAACCCGAGCTCACTGAAGGGATGCTGGCCCGGGCAGGGAAATAGTCCTGCAGACTTTAGAGGGCTTCCCGATGACAGGAGCCCTCGGCACATCTGCAGTCAGGCCCTGGTGGGGGCGGAGCGAGTGTCAGCTGGACGACAGACCCGGGGAGCCGGACCCAGCGCGTGGGGCTCCCGCCATGGTGAAGAGTCCCTTCTGCACCCAGGCCTGGCCCAGAAAGCACGGTGCCGAGGGGCCTGAGGGCAGCGCCTGGGACCGTGGCGTCAGCGCCAAGCTGTGCGGGTCTATCGCCCGTGCTCGGTGATCGCCCCCGACCCCCGTGACTCAGGATGCCTGGAACTGCCAACGATCTTCCAGCTTGACTTATAGAAGTTTCGTGTGGTTCTAATATTTAGTTCTTTCCTTTTTCCGCCCTAACCTGAGAGGCCCTGGCTCTGGAGAGAAGCCTGACAACAGTAGGGGCGGGGCTTCCTGCCAACCGGGCGTGTGGGTTCCAGCACTGACAGCGACGGCGGTGACCATGGTATGTCACTGAGCCTTCGCCCTGTGGCAGAAACTGTCCCCGGAGTGTCCCCACGGATGACTTGACTCGATCCTCACAATAATTCTGTGGTGTGGGGGCCGCTAATACCCCCACATGACACCACAGATGGGGTTCTGGGGACCCAAGGGGGGAAAGAGCAGCCCGCAGTTAGTGAGGCCGGGACTCGAACCCCGGCAGCCAGGCTCCAGAGCCGCGTTCTCAACAATCCTGCCTGTGAGACAGCGTCTCTCACGGGCTGGGGACTGGAGATAGAGGTCGCTCCTGCTTTGCTTTTCTTTTAAGGACAAAACGTCATATTTCTTGTAGACTAAAATCCATACCTATGACACGAGCAGCTGTCCAATATCAGAGGACCAAATAATCAATCATCTAATACCTTTGCTCAGAGAGATGCCAGGTACTTTGTAAGTACCTGTCAGCTAGTTTTGTCG